GTTTTTACTCACGAAAGCTTATGCCCAAATAAATCTGTTAGTCTTTAAGGTGCCACCAGACTCCTTGTTGTTTATCTACAAGAGCAATCACAAAGAAAAGCAACTATCATTCATTGCCGTGAAAGCTGTCAGATCACTAATGGCCCTGGAGATTCCTAAGCATTTAGATTTCTTCCTGCTTAATAGAAGAGAAATGTGGCCTCTCTTTCAGTCCTGCAGCGGAAACAAGATATTTTAAATATTAAAGCAAGCAGATGCTCTCCAAAGGCTCTCTACATCACAGAGGCTCTTTATCCACTCAGACACTGGCCCCTGAATCTCTGACATGTACAGTCCTGCACCATGCAGGAGAGTAATTGAGAACCACTATAGAGTGAAGGGGTTTTAACTAGAACTCATTGAATTATTTGTTGTTGACTAATAGTTGCTGTGAATTTGTCCTTTATTTCCACAAATACCCAGGGCTTGGTTGAATATTCATGATTAAACCCCTGTTGGAAGGGGGACTAAGGCTGGCCTTCAGACACAAACAAAACACAACAAAAGGAGAAACAAAACACTGTCTCTTTGAGGCACGCCCTTTCTGTTGAGTTACTGCTCTGCCCTGGCCAATTTCCACAGTCAAGCCCAAGGCTATCCTCAGCTTGATCCAAAGGAGAAGCTCTTGTCAATGTCAGGTAGGCTTGCTTGTGAAAAGAACCATCCTCTGATGTGACTGAAGCAGAATCTTCATGCTTCTAGAGTGGGGCTTGGTCTGGGAGCGTCCTGATTCTATTCTCTCCCACCAGAAGGGAGAACATTTCATCACAGAGCCCCAAGCTACTTTGCCTTTCTGTTTATAATCTGCCATAGGGCTAGATTGTGAGTGCAACCTGCACAGCCAGGGAGTGTAAAGGAGTGGGGGCACCAGGTGCAAGCTACCCTAAACCTGAGTCAGGGTGTAGGGGGAGAGTATGGACTCTGTGCCTGATAATCATGCTGGGAGCCAGCAAAGGGACAAGGAAAGCCAGGGCTCCACACACACATCAGCCAACAGGGCTGGCTGGCAGTGGTGAGGGCGGGGTGAAGTACATGTGATGTTCATCACCTTGATCTGGATTGAACTAGAGGCCTCCAAACCTAGAACCACGAGTCTCTACAGCATGAGCTGCAGCTAAGAACTGAAATAGACTCACGTCCTCTTTGGATTGGGTGCAGATACATACAGACCAGTGGGTTATATATGCTGGATCAGTTCACAGGCAAATGCAACATATTCCCTAATATGCAAACAGGCATCGTAGAGCAATTGTAACTCAGAGGGCAAGTCTGAGTTGCATTTCCTTTAGGGAGCTCCTCCTGGAGCAGCACAGATATATGCCACTGCCTACTCAGGGCTGGGAATAAACTCTTCCTCTTGGCCCTAAATGAGTCAAGCGGGAGATTTCTCTACTTCCACCAGACAAGCATCTCTAGAGCAGGGCAGCTCCACCACCTGATTCACTTGTCAGGCAGATAAATCCTCCCCTAGCTGGCTTGGCATGGGTATGTTCACACCACACATAAGAGCAACCTCAGTGTAGTGCTTTTATTCACTACAATTCCCGCAAAAGATTTTTTTTTTTTAATATTCAACCAGCTCCAACCTTAAGGAAGGGGATGAAATTGTAAAGTCACCACAAGAAGACAAAAATGGCCAAAAATATCAAAAATTAAAAGGCTGAATTCAGTACTTCCCTTTCCTATTGAAGCTGATCTCCATAAAGGACACCAATAATTTCCCTTACAAGATAATCAGGGTTTGTTGTCTTCTTTCCACATACGTTCCAGGCTGCAATGATTTGTTTAAAATAATTTAAGACAAGATTGTGTGTGTGCGTGTGATTAAACAAAGCAACAAAGTCTATAGCTATATATGTGTGTGTGTCTGTAAGGAAGCAATGGAGCCTGCAATGTGAAGTGCGGGTATGCAGAAAAGCATGACTTACTTTCTGGGTATGTTTGAGAAACCGCAGGATTTGTGTGATCCATCAAAGAGTTTTTTCCACCCTACCGTGGAACTGTGTGTTCCATGATGATCTGACACATGGGAGTTCCCGGGTGGCCTTTTCATCTCATGTGAGATTACTGATGCTAGGAAAGCAGATAGCCTGACATTTCAACCTCCCTATTCTGTCACCTTAAAGGAACAATAGAGATGCAAAATGAAGCTGTTAGAGGTAAACAAAGAAAGATACTGTCATGCTGCCTTAAAAAATAGTTTTTGGTTTCTGTGCCACCTGCTTATCTCCTTTGGTGAATTTTATTCTACTAAGCATGTTAGAACCGACAGGCCCATCCGTCATATGGCGATTGGGCTTTTCTTCTTGGAGCAGACAGCATCTTTATTAGCACTAGGCAGGCTGCCAGGGTGAGAAATGAAATGCCCAGAACATATTAGGACTGTATATTAGATTGCAGCTCAGATATTTTCATTTTGATTCTACCAGATAAACTGGTTCACGCACAGATCCCAACAGGACAAAGATCACACTCCTGCTATGATTACAAACAAAACAAAACGACTGCCCCTGCCCCCCGGAGCTTACAATCTAAGCCAAGCAACAACCGATGGATACAGAGAGATGGAGAGAGCACAAGGGAACGAGACAACATTGGGCAGCTTGACAGGCTGTGTCCCCGGCACACTAGCTCTGGGTGTGAGCAGCAGGGACACTCCTTCAGAGTAATAATGATCACACTTACCCACTTCTGTAGCCTTCTTCTATCTGAGGTGCCCCAAGCACTTTATCAAGATTATAACTGTGGAATTTTTCTTTGTTTATAAATGTATCTAAGAAGTTTGTTAACTGACAATTGTATTAGCCACACATTGAAATTATAGCGGGAACACAGGGCTGAGAGCCAGCCTCCTGAGCCCTGTTTTCTGCTCTGCAGCTGACTCACTGATTGGCCTTGGGCGAGTCATTTAATCTCTTTGTGCCTCATTTTACCATCTGTAAAATTGGGATAATACATCTCTCCTTCAAAGAGGCTTATTAAATGTTGTAGTGTTACTTATGAATCCAAAGTCACACCGTAAACCTGACTTGAAAAACAAATGTCGAAATCCCCTTTTTGTTCTTCTTCACTGCTGCAGATACAAAGGGTTTAAAGGCAACTGCGCCATTTCCTTCATTGATCAGTTTAAAGCCCTCCACCAGTGCAATAAGTACTGCGAGATGTTGGGGTTGAAATCCCTCCCAGGCGGTCATCAAAAACAAAGGAAACCAACAGCCATGAAAAGCAAAGTCCCTCCAAACTCACCGAATGTACAGAAAAGAGTGGCCAGCACACAGGCAACCAAGACAACATAGACCTCCTGTCTTCAAAGCATCCAGTAACATTGCACAAGCTCCTCTCTAGAAACGCACAGGTACCGAAGGACATGACTGCGGAGTTAGACTGAGCCTTCTGCATTATACCACCATTTTGAAGCTGTTCTTTGATAACAGCAACCAGGAAACCAGCTGCATAGGTGGCCTAGCAGACTGCAATTCAAAAACAATGGAAAGTTTTCAAAGCCAAACAAAGCTATCTGCCTCGATTAACTTTCAAGTATTTTTACATCCGTCACGTCAGTGTATATTTGTGTATTTGCACACTCTGTGTCTTGGTCTTTGTGCAGGAGATGGATCACTGGAGCATTTCTGTCCTCCATTCAGCAACTCCCAGATCTCTACGCCAGCGATACTGTAGCATTCAGCAGCTATGTAAAAATAAAACTACTTAAGCCACCACTTAATAAAGGTTTTGGACTAGAGCTCGATACTGGCACTGGGGTCAAGGATGTATGAGAATAATTGCTTTATTTCCTAACTCTTTACACAATTTTAATCCTTACTATACTCCTATTCCTTGTACTTTTGCCAATTAAATTCCTTTTAAAACAAGCATAAGCCACATGGGTATTTGGATCATTAAACACACCTGTTCTCTGAACAAGCTCAGGGATTTAGCTGCCAACTATGTAGCTTTCCTCGTAAAGTTCGGTCACCCAGTTGGAAAAATCCTAAAACTGAGCATCACCTGGGAGTTTCTTATCCACAGAATTTGTTTTGTCCCTGAGGCCCTGATCCTGCGATTGGATCCATCTTGCTCCCACCCAGATCCTGCTGCAGGATTGGGGCCTGAGGGCCCAAGCTGCAGGGTGCTGAACACAACTCATACTGAAGTCATTGGGAGTTAAGGATATTCAGCACCTTGCAGGACTGAGACCTAATTGACAACGTGTGATGCAGTGCACACCCCACACAAGGCCTGGAGGGGTTCAAGAGCTAGGCCAGCCAATTAACTGCCCAGGCTGCACCTGAAGGAGACAGGGAGCAGGAAATGGGCTCAGCTGAGCAGGAAGAGGAGGGGCCTGTATAAAGCCCGGGAGCAGTGAGTAGCAAGAGGCTGCAGTCACTCCCTGGGAGAAGGGAGCTTGGGCTGACAAACCTGTGGTGGGAGCCAAATAGGTAGGAAGACAACAGCAAGGAGCAGAACTGTACAGACTTTGGCTGCTTGATAGAGAGTCCCTGGGCTGGGTGTAGTGGGTGGGCCTGGGTTCCCCTACCAGTCATTGGGAAGTGGTGCAGGGTGTTGGAGATGCAGGTAGACAGCTGGTCTAGAAGCACTTTGAATTCCCCAGAAGGGGAGAACTTTAATGACCTGGCCGGAGGGCCAAGTCATCAACAGGAAGCTATAACTCCTGGAGTGAGTGGGGCCATAGGGTGAAAGAGATGACGGGTAGAGACACGGCCAGAGGACGGCAATGCCTAGCAAGAGCTAATCCCCAGAGCCACCAGGAGGCGGCACCACATGCGGTGAGTAGACCCCGTGACAACAAAGGTACAATAGTTTTTGTCTTCACAGGGACAGTCTGAGTTTCTGAAGGAATAGCTTAGAGTCAAGTGTGCCTAATGCAAGGGGGAGCCACCATAACAGTCCACATTGACCCAGAATTCCCAGACAATAGTAACTGAGATACTTACAACAGGAAATTATTGTGGTGACCTCGATTCTCCACTATGTATGAGCGGTGCAGCATATTGTGAAGACTGACTACCATAGGAATCCAGGTGTGGTTCCTTGAATCTCAACCACCCACGGGGCCTGCTCCAACTCCTGCCACTGGCATAAGGGCCATATCTTATCGGTGAAAGACCAGGCGTAGAGGAGCTGTGCTCCACCATACACCCTTGTATCCATACCTACCCCCAGACTGCCCCTGATATGCCCCCTTCCTCTCTTTATGCGGGGAGAGGAGGAGCTAGAAGTGAGTTTCTGCCCACTTTCCACCAGAAAAAAGTGCCCCTACCCAAGGGGAATTCTCCACCAGCTACTTATATGGTGCAAAGTGATCTAAACAGGCTGAAGAATCTGGCTCTGTATATCAAATACCACTTTCCCAGGTGCTAAGATACCACAGTGATTGGAGCAGGGTAAGAACCTGAACAGAACAGACTAGAAGGGGAAGATTACAGGCCAGATTGATGTCATGTACATTTAAAAAGATCACAGAGGATTTTTTAAACTAAGGAATGGGGGAAAGCTGACAGGCACTGGGTTTGAACAGAGACATCCCTTAGATGAGGATTTATTAATGGGGATTCTCAATATTTCTAGTAAAGAGAAGAGGCTAGAAGTTGATAAAGTCCAAGCAGGAAATGAAGAGAAACAGTCAAACAAAAGAGTCCCAGTTAATTACATCAGGTGAAGGCAGACAAAATTTGTCAATATTTAGTTAAAAGTGTTTGTATACAAATACTAGAAATCTAAATATCAAGATGGATGGATTTGAGTGCCTGGTGTTAAATAAGGATGTTGATATAATAGGTATCACAGAAACTTGCTGGAACAACAATCATCAATGGGATATGGTAATACCAGGATACAAAATATGTAGGAATGACAAAGTTGGTTACGCTGGGGGAGGGAGTGGCACTATATGTGAAAGAAAGCATAGAATCGAATATAGTAAACATTTTACATGAACCAAACACTGCCATAGAATCTCTATGGATAGAAATTCCATGCTTGAATAGTAAGACCATAGCAGTAGGAATATGTTACCGACCACTTGGCCTGGCTGGTGATGGTGATTGTGAAATGTTCAGGGAGATTAGAGAGGCTACAAAAAAACAGAAAACCCACTGGGATTTCAACTCTCCCCCATATTGACTGGGTATATGTCACCTCAGAATGGGATGCAGAGATAAAATTTCTAGACACATGAAATGATTGTTTCCTGGAACAGCTAGCCCTGGAACCCACAAAAGGAGAGGCAAGTCTTGGAGTACAAGATCTGGTCCAAGAGGTGAATATAGTTGGACCGCTTGGTAAAATAGCAACCAGGAGTGACAGAAGCTCCATAAAAGTAGCCTCTTCCCCTGAGGCCCTGCCTCTGTGCCGCCTCTTCCCTCCCAAGACCACTTTTAAAAGTGATGCTGCCATGCCACCCCTCCTTTCCAGCAACCCTCAGAGCTGTCTGTTACAGCTGTCCCCCTGCTGTTCTGTTTTTGTGCTGGGTGGCCGCCACCCCCCCCCCCGGCTCTCGGTGTAGGGTGCTCTGCCCAGGTATGCGAGACCTAAAGTGGCCACATAGCTGAGCATATGAGTCATACCTGTGGCTCAGAACATGCCCAGGCATGCCTATGCTTACCTGCAGTTCCCTGCCTTCTCTCCTACCCTGTATCAAGAGGAGCCAATCAAAGTTACTGGCGGGAAACTGCCTGAATTTGCCCTTAAAAACAGACATTTTCTGATCAGACCACCGGAGAAGGTCCTTGCTTTGCCACCTGGTCTAATCATCTAGGGGTCTTTGGGGGGCCCTCTCCCCGCTCTCGTTTGTTTTTGAGCATACCCCCGTTTTTAAACTCCCCTCCCACGAACAACAAATTTGTGCCTGGAGATCTCCTGATTATTGTAAGCGAATCGAGTCCTCTTTGCGTCCTCTGATGCTGAAACTGCTTTTCCTGCTGCTGCTTTGGGGATTGGTAAGGAAAAACCTCTTGCACCCCCCTCCCCTTGTTCTAGCTGCTGGCTTTCTCAGGCAGACCCAAGCTAACTCCTTGGTCTGTATCTGTAATCTGCTTCTAGCTCCGCAGCGCCTTTGCTGCTAGAAATAAGCCTGCTTGCAGCCACCACTAGTTAACCCCCCCACCCCTTTGAAGCTGTATCCTGGGCACACTCTGCCCTCTGGAACTACCCCTAGTATAAGGTGCACCCATTAGGTTAGATTTAGCCTTTAGTCTAGATAAATTGTAATTTCATTTTGCATAGTTGTGGTTAAGTTAGGTTTAGAAAATTGCTTGCAGTGTACTCTGTAAGTTAGGCTTAAAGAATTGTTGCATTGTGTTTTGTTACTTGTACTTGCTAATTTGTGTAGTTTTGGTTAAGTTAAATCATAGATAAGCTTTTGCTGTGTTCTGTATAATTGTCTCTCTGCTGTTTAAACTTGCAGCCTGTCTGCTCTCTGTGTCTCTCTCTCTCTCTCTCTTAATCCCTTCCCCCACGTGCTCACCCCGCTCCTGCTGCTGCCAAACCTCAATTGTATTACTGAAGTCTAGCATAAAACCCCATTGGTTACCCTTTTTCTCTCTAACACCCCTCACATTTTACATTTAACCACTGTGACATATTTTTACCTAGAGTTGTTGGTTATTTAACCAACATTTTACCCATAACTGTTAGTTGGTTATATGCTGCTGTTACACACCCTTTACATAGAAATTGTTAGCTACCTGTTACATTTATACTTCAGTGTTAATTGGTTACCAACTGTATTGTACCCCACTGTATTGTACCCCACTATTGAAACCCCCTATCCTATTTACTAAAAGAAACCCCTCCCCAATTGTTTACCTTAACAAACCCCATACCCCTCACTATTAAATTTTCCCTGTTTTTGCATTTTCTTAATAAAGTTTATTTTACACCCCACCAGTGCAGTAGTTGTCCCCCAAGATCCCCAACCTGCTGGCAGGGTCAAGAGCAACCATGATGTAATTAAATTTAACATCCTTGTAGGGGTGAAATGCCAAAGAAACCCACCACAGTTGCATTTAACTTCAAAAAGGGAAACTACAAAAATGAAGCAGTAAACTAGAACTTAAGAGTAGACACAAGAATTAAATGTATGAAAGCTGCATGGAAACACCATAAAAAAGGCTCAAACTACATGTATATCCTTAATAATAATAATGAAAAAAAACAGTAAGAGGACAAAAACTGCCACCATGGCTAAACAGCAGAGCAACAGAGGTGGTAAAAGGCATCTTTTAAAAATTGGAAGTCAAATCTTAATGAAGATAATGGAAAGGAGCCTAAACACTGGCAAACTAAGTTCCCTCTAAGCTGCGCGGTTGCGCAGCAGGCTATCAAGGGCTGCACAAGCATGCAGCCACAGGGCCTGGACTGGAAAGGCGCCTCTCCCCAGGGTGCTGCGACAAGAGAGGGCTGGGGGGCAGCCTGCACCCCAAGCCCCTCCACCCCAGCCCCACCCCAGAGCCTACACCCCCCAGCTAGAGCCCTTACCCCCCATGCCCCAGCACTAAGCCCCTTCCCGCACCCCAATTCCCTCATCCCCAGCCCCACCCCAGAGCCCTCACCCCACCCCGCACTCCAACCCTCTGCCTGAGCCCCGAGTCCCCTCCTACATTCCAAACCCCTCGGCCCCACCCCCGCTGCACATCACCTCCATATCGGTGCACATAACCAAATTCATTCCGCACATGGACATAAAAAATTAGAGGGAACATTGCTGGCAAGTCAAGTGTACAGAGTAATTCAGCAGGGCAAAAAAGAATGTGAGCAACTAGCCAAAGACACAAAAACGAAGCAAAAATAATTTTAAGTACATCCGAAGCAGGAAGTCTGCCAAACAATCAGTCGGGCCCGTAGACAACTGAGATGCTAAATGAGGACTCCAGGAAGATAACTCCATTGTGGAGAAGCTAAATGAATTCTTTGCCTCTGTCTTCACTGCAGGGGATGTGAGGGAGATTCCCACGTAAGAGCCATTTCTTTTAGGTGACAGATCTGAGTAACTGTCACAGATTGAGGTGTCAGTAGAGCAGGTTTTGAAACCAATTGATAAATTAAACAGTAATAATTCACCAGGACAAGATGGTATTCACCCAAGAGTTCTGAAGGAATTCAGATATGAAATTGCAGAACTTCTAACTGTGGTATGTAACCTTTTGCTTAAATCAGCCTCTGTACCAGATGCCTAGAAATCAGCTAATGTAATGCCAATTTTAAAAAAGGCTCCAGAGGCGATCCTGACAATTACAGGCCAGTAAACCTAACTTCAGTACCAGGCAAATTGTTTGAAACTATAGTAAAGAACAGAATTACCAGACACAAAGATGAACACGGTATGTTGGGGAAGAGTCAACACGGCTTTTGTAAAGGGAAATCACGCCTCACCAAGCTATTACAATTCTTTGAGGTTCAGGGTGTCAACATGCATGGGGATAAGGTTGATAGAGCTGATACAGTACACTTGGACTTTCAGAAAGCCTTTGACAAGGTTCCACAACAAAGGCTCTTAAACAAACTAAGCAGTCATGGAATAAGAGGGAAGATCCTCTGATGGATCAGTAACTGGTTAAAAGATAGAATACAAAGGGCAGGAATTAATTGTCAGTTTTCACAATGGAGAGAGGTAAAAAGTGGGGTCCCCCAAGGATCTGTACTGGACCTGTGGTGTTCAGCATATCTGATCTGGAAAAGGGGACAAACAGTGAGGTGGCAAAATTTGCAGATGATATAAAATTACTCTAGACAGTTAAATCCAAAGCTGACTGAAGAATTACATAGGGAATTCACAGAGCTGGGTGACTGGGTAGATGAAATTCAATGCTGAGTAATGCATATCAGAAAAAATAATCCCAACTATACATCCAAAATGGTAGGGGTCTAAATTAGCTGTTACCACTCAAGAAAGGTGTTGGAGTCATTGTGGATAATTCTCTGAAAACATCCATTTAATGTGCAGCAGCAGTCATAAAAACTAACACAATGTTGGGAGCCATTAGAAAAGGGATAGATAATAAGACAGAAAATATCATAGTGCCACTATATAAATCTATGGTACGTCCACACCTTAAATACTGCATGCAGTTCTGGTTGATTCATCTCAAAAAAGATATATTAGAATTGGAAAAGCTACAGAGAAGGGCAACAAAAATGATTAGGGGTATGGAACAGCTTCCATTCAAGAAGAGATTAAAAAGACTAGAATTGTTCAGCTCAGAAAAGAGATGACTAAGTTGGGATATGATCGAGGTCTATAATATCATGAATGGTGTAGAGAAAGGGAATACGGAAGTGTTGTTTTACCCCTTCACATAACACAAGAATCAGGAGTCTCACAATGAAATTATTAGGCAGCAGGTTTAAAACCAACATAAGGAAGTACTTCGTCGCATAATGCACATCAACCTGTGGAACTCATTGCCAGAGAATGATGCGAAGGTCAAAAGTATAAATGGGTTAAAAAAGAATTCGGTAAGTTCACAAAAGATAGGTCTATCAATGACCATTAGCCAAGATGTTCAAGAATACAACTCCATGCTCTGGATGTCCATAAACCTCTGACTGCCAGAAGCTGGGACTGGATGACGGGATGGATCACTCAAAAATTACCTTATTACATTCATTCCCTCTGATGTACCTGGCACCGGACACTTTTGGAAAACAGGATACTGGGGTAGGTGGACCATTGGTCTGATCCAGTATGGCCGTTCTTATGTTCTTAAGTGTTGTCTTGTAAGGCTTGCTATGATCACTGTCTGGATTCTGCCTCAGTCCTGCTAAAAGTGAGGAAGCCTCATCCAGGGAATATTGCTTGGTCCAGATGTTGAGTATGTTTAGGTGCATATACATGCAGGGCACACTCACTTCTGCAAAGACGATGCCCTCTTGTACCCCTTTGTGTAGGAGCGGCAGAGGGATTTTTTTTCAGTGTTTCTGGACCAGGAAGATTCTGAACAGCCAACATCTGCCAGGTACTTCCCTTGGTGACTAGAATTTGTCCCCTTATGTATGTTTTAGCAGGACATTTGCATCCCTCTCCTTTTCTCCCCATTAGTAATAAGCTGGCTGCTTTCTGTTACCTCACATCTCCAGGAGGTTAGAATTGGGACGGAAAAAAATCTAATTAGTTTTATTGACCCTCCTGAAGAATTTCACTTCCCCATTGCACTTATCTGGTGAGTTCACTACTGAAGAGAGAACATAGAGGGAAAAGAATCTGCAAATGACTCCATATGGATGGGTTCTATCCCTGCGGTGCTGATTGCAGGATTTGCCCTAAGCTCTTTGGGGCAGGGATTGTCTTTGTATTCTGTGTTTGTGCAGCACCTTGCACAGTGAGGTCCTAGCCCATGACTCGGGCTCATAGGTGTTACAATAATACAAACCAATAATAATATTGTTTTCCTTATTCATTAATCAAACTCTATCCAAACCTGTTGATCAATAAGTGGAACAGGCTGGAACCACAAATCCGGCTTAGGGATTGGTTTGATTGAGATGTGCTCATGGAACATAACACTTTGAAAGGCTCTTTAGGA